TAGATTGTTGCTCGTTATATGTAAAATTTCGTTTCCGAAAATTTTAATTAGTGTATTTCCGCTTTTTTCTTCTCTCACACGTGTTCGGAATTCATGTCGGCTGATCAAATTTTGTGCACTCCGATTGGCCATTTCCTTTCTAGGGGTTTGTATTACCCGCGCAAATAAGTGCGTCACCCAGTGTGCAACATATAAAAAAATTATTTTACCATACAGTGTTGGATTATAATTATAACATGTACTAACGGAAACTATATATGGTACTAAATAAAATTTTGATATTGAAGATTTTTGGTTCTTTGAGAAAACTATGAAAATTTAATTAGATGTATAGTCTTTAAAACTGGTTATTATAAATCCAAATTTTGCACACATTAAGATTAAGTTTCAAAGAACAAAGTTATGAAGCCAAATAAGTCTTCCTATTGAAAAAAATATCATTTATTTAAAAAATTTTTTAAACGAATAAAGTAGCAATTACACGTAAAAAAGACCCGGAAAAAATGGGATTCTCATAAATAATGTAAAAACAAACTTTGTAACTTTATAGATATGGTAGCAACAAACCAATTAATATCAAAATAGTTTTACTAAAAAGAAAGATGCGACCTACACATTTAAAAAAGCGAGACCCAGCTTTTATATATAAATCATATTACATAAATGATCACTAAAAATCTAGACTAATTAAAATATGAGTATCGCTAAAAGAAAACCTGACAATTTAAATATAAGTTATATTTCAATTGTCGAGTTTTCTTTTAGCGACACTCATATATATGTGATCACATATAGTTTTGATTTACATAGTTTACCAAACACCCCAATCTGGCATGGTAAAATAATTTTTTTATATGCTGCACACTAGTACCCTAGCCATAGCAAAAACAAGGTGTCGGATTATGTGACTTTCGACCCTCCGACCTTGTACTACCCAAACATGTAGTTAATTACAACCAATCAAATTTGTCTATTTTTGTAAATCATGCTTCCTTATTAAAAATGTATCGTAAAATATAACAATAATTATAAGCATTTAAAACAAATTAAAATAATCAAATTTATTAAAAATTTAAAAAATTGCAGTTTTGGCCAAGCAGAATAATTATTTTTTGCAATAAAACTGATACGAAATTATTAGTAAATTATAACACTATGTATATATTATACGTTGGAATAGAATTGTTAGAAATTTGGAACTTACTAAGGTTGAAACGGAGTACCAAAGTTGATATGAAATATAGAAGCAACTTAAATAGATTCTAAATTTGATATCGACTCAGTAATAATATATAATCAATTATTGTAACAAAATTAAATACATTACATCTTAGAATAAATTGCCAAAATATTTAAATATAATCTTTTTTTTTATCGTATTCCTATTTAATTTTTACGACTCTTCTATCCGATGATCGAATCTTGAGATTACAAATACATTAATAAAAACGACTTACAATAAATTGTCAAAATCTTTAAATACATCTTTTTTATTATATTTCTCTCTTAATTTTTTACTACACTTTCTATCCAAACTATAAAATTATTTCTTTTTATTTTATTATGCATTTGATAAAAATTTTTAAAAATTTCTTACTAGTAGACGACATAAAATCTTCGTTTATTTAAAAACTTTGATTCCTGTATTAAAGAGATACGGTAAATACAACAGTCAGGAATATAAAGATCACCTTAAAGCTACTTAAATTTCAGCACAATATATTCGATAAAACAATTTAAAATCTACTTAATTTATTATAAGTTAAAATTGAATTCTTTAACAATTTAAAATTCTATTACAACCTACATTTATTCAACCAACTTAAGTGGATTCTAGATTATAATAATCCTATTCTGATGTACTATAATTAAACAAATATATAGTTAACAAAAAGATCATCTTAAAGCTACTTAAATTTCAAACAATATATAATTTAGAATCCACTTAATTAAATTGTAAGTTGAAATTGAATTCTTTAACAACTCGAATACAATTAAGAATTCTATTACAACCCACGTTTATTCGGTCAACATAAGTGGATTCTAAATTCCATTCTGACATACAAGAATTGAACACATATATAACCAACTTACCAAATGAAATACGGGGCTAAAAAATAATATAAAATTTATCAAGCATAAATAGATTAATACAATGTAATAAATTAAAACTGATAATTGTTAAAAATTAAATTGAGAAACTTACCAAATGATGGAAGAAGATAAACATACAAAGACTTAAATTAATCAACGTGGCAAGATAGGCTCGAAGCAGATAATAAAAAACTAGAGATTGTATCTACCCAGAAAATTTTTACACAGGTATCATTAAGTTACCTGGTTGTCCAAGTAATTTATTATATATATATTCATAGAATAAAAATGTCAATCCGGGTACAATCTCAAATAAATAAAATAAAAATAAAAGTCACAGAGTAAAGACACATGGGTCAACGTGGCATAATTGGCGCAAAACATGTAAAAAAATAAGGCGTGCAAAAATTTGTGCAGAACAAATAAATAACAAAAGAACTGAAATCATAAATCATGGTTATAGTTAATAACAAACTAAAAAAATTGGCATTTCCTTATTCGCATTGCAAATAATTCTACAAATTGCAATAGTTATTTTGCTATGGTAGAAAATGTAAGATATAACAAGAAAATACCTATATATAAGGAATGCGTCTTGCTATCAAATAAAGCAAAAAATAAATCAAAAATATAGTAAACAAATCACATTTGAATATATTTTAATAAACTAACCTGTGCTCTAATACTGAATTAATCTACCAAGCGCAATTTAATCAACATGAGTGAAGAAACCGTTAGCAATGGTATTTTTTTTGTAGTCGTCAATAGGACTTAATAAACGTATAAATAAATTTGACTTATCTTCATTACTAGCAACCATCCGAACTAAAAAAATGTGTACCAGCTGCTATTGCAACAAAGAAATTCCTGAATTTATTCGATCTCATGAAAATAGCATAATTTATGAGCATGATACCTGTAATAAATGTTATGAAAGATGTAAAAATAAAAAACAAAAGGATTTAAACCCAATAACAACAAAAAAAACCAAGCTTTTGAAAACTGATCCGATTAAAGACACCCCGAGCAATAACTTGTCAGTTGGAAATAGTGCTGATAATAAGAGAGAGGATCTTGCATCACAAAACAACTCATCTAGCAATAAAAAAGATGATCAATATGACTATGACAATGATGATAATGGTCTCTTTTATAGTATAGATGAGGTAGAAGAACATATTAATACACAATTTCAAAATTTAGAAAATAATAATAAACCTGTAAAATTGGCTTTTGAAATTGAACTAGACCAAGAACTTGCTGAGTACATTACCTGTGATCTTCAGTCAGAAACACTTGACTTAGAAGAAATCAAGACTAATTTCCATCAACTTTCGAAGATTATTGTTGTAGCAATTGAAACCGGATCAAATTATTACTGAAAAACACGTAATATATATCTAAAAAACACCAAAGGCAGTTTTACTGGTTGTGCAATGATATATCTTGGATGCACCCAATGAGAGGACCGTCAATGGCAAAGAACCGAAGGGCAGCCAGTGATAAGAAAGAGTGAAATTCGAGCTCCAATAGACCGATATGATTGTAAAGGGAGTATTTCACTTATAATTGATTCACAACAGCAGTGTGTTTTTGTCCATGGGGAGCACCTAAAAGCACATCAATATCCAGAACATCGGAAGCTTCGATTTCCCATAGAGGCAAGAGAATGGATTAAAGAAAATGTTAAGCATAATTTGCAAAGCCATGTACTTTACAGGCGACTCTGTGATGAAGGACGAATTGATCCTCAGTTTCATATAAAAGACTAGGTATACTATTAGTCCTCTGTTTTAAAAAAAGAAACCTATTTAATGAATTCAGTAAACCAGCTTTTATCAACAAAAATGTATCTCGAAAAACCTGAATATATAACAAAAGGATATAAAGTAATTTGTTATCTCGAGAATAATTTTTTAAGAGCTCTTGGATTTGTAACACTATTGTTAAACTGCATTGGTATAAAGAATGTAAATGAAGTCGTCATTGATTCTACATTTAAAACTAACCAAGAGCGCTTTGAGCTTTTCGTTGTAAATGCTAATTGTAGCAGATATGGAATGCCTTTAGCATATCTTTACCTACTAACAACTAATAGTACTGAGTTAGCATTTAATGATCCTAAAAATAAAGTCAATACCCGGATACAGGCATTGTATGAGTTTTTTAATGGTCTTCGACAATTAGATTTATTACCGGTATTTTCTCTTGTAAATAAAGATGCCGGTGAAATATTGGCTATAAGCGAAGCTTGGTCATAGATAACCAACATTCAATTATGCTATTGGCATCTTGATCATGCCATAAACAAATGCTTGAAGGATAAAAAATCGCGAACAAATACATATACAGCAGCAAAGGCTGCAGAAGCCCATCGACAATTTGACTTCATCAATCCTAACTGGATATCAAATGGAAGTGCTGGAGCCTTATGTCCAGAAGAATTAATTAAAGAATGCTTAGAAATGGTAAAAAGACATACAAATATGCACCCACTTATACTAATATCTAAGGGTATTTTTTGGACCTCTGCTGAAATTTATCGAAACTGTGTAAAGGAAGCCTATTCATTTTGTCAAATCCATAATATAGTTAAGCTTTGGGGTTATCTGTAGATAAACTGGTATAATCTAAAAGATTAGAAACTTTTCACTTGGTCATCGTATTTAGCAGCCATGCCACTAGCAAGAACTACTATGATTACGGAAAGTCACTGGTGGGTGCTTAAGTATAATTACAAATATAATTATAATCAACCATGCCTTGACTGCCTTACCCAGATTATTGTAGAACAATTAATACCAGATTTTGAGCTTAAAATGGCCTAAATTAATGGTAATCGCATCTTTCCAGCATGGTGGAATAGCTTTAAAAGGGATTGGGATAAGATGGCAATTGCAGAAATTCGATCTGACATGGATGAAGTTTACCATATTGATATTAATAACTGGGTATGCTCATGTCCTGCATATGCACATAGTTGTTACCTTATCTGCAAACATCTTGTTGCTAAAAAGGATGGTGCATACTTTCGTCCTACTTTCGCAGAGACAATGCGTCGACATGACTATCCCTTGATTATCTTTGAAAAAGACAAATTACCTACAATAAATCCCATTAACAATCCTTGAACTAGATATGAACCAGTAATAATGAAAGATCATAATGACAATAGAAATCCTAGTAACACTCAACTCCAAAATGTATCAGTAGAGCGTAGTTTCATAGAAAAAAGACGGGAAAAGCTTTCCGAATATAAAAAGATAATGGATATGGCGTTAGTATTATATAAACGAGAAATTAACAATAATAAATTCATTGATGCTTTCGATAACTTAATGAAGCCATTAGTAAAAGAAGTTGGTGAGTGTCAGAATGCATTACAGGCCCTTAGTCAGCAAAAAACTTGGAAACTAAATGGGAAACTTGCATTTTGGTTACGTTAATTTATATTAAAATCATTACGGATTGGCATTTTAGTGCTTCTGCCCACTGTTAAAGTAAAACCTAATTAAAATTTTAAAAATTTCTAAATAGTTGTAAATTTAAAATTATTAATTGGCATGTATACGAAAATAAAAAGTATACTTAATTTTTTGTTTTATCCTTTATCAGCTATGCTATATTATTTATACAGCAATCGAATTATTCATGAGCTGCTTTGATTTAATTCATTGATAATAATGTAACAGGTCGAATGCAATTTAAAAAGTTATTTATTGGATTATAAAAACAAGTCTGATTAAAACGAACTCGTTTACAAATAAACCTTATAAATCAACAATGTACTTTTTTTTTACACTTAACAATAAAAAGTAATAGCCTCGATTTTAATGTCAGTATGCTAGGTTATGTTAGAAGAAATTAAGATTTTTAATCATTAAAGTGGTATTTCTTTTGAACCAGTTTATCGTTATTACAAGTTAACATTATCATGGTTGATCTGCAATTAATCAAATCAATCAATGTCGATCAGGGCTATTTCGGAGGTCGAAAATCACATGATCCGACACCTCGTTTTTGCCATGGCTAGGGTACTAGCTGCACATCAGGTGACGTTCTAGCGTCCGGAATCTGGCGGGTTGTGCCCAGTGTTGGAAATTCATAAGGCAGTATGATGATTTTTGTGAACATACTTTGTTTTTTATCATGTTCACATTAAAAA